ACATTGATGCACCGATGTCTGTTGCAGAGTCCGTCCTGAACTCCACTGGCGGCTGCTCGCCACCATCGCTACTACCTCTGTTCAGCCCCATCTCATCCATGGTTTCATGTGGTGTGTGGCGCACTGTGTGGCCAAAATCCATCTGTGATGTCGCTGTGCCATGCGGTTTTGCGCGGCATCGAGTCCCTGCCACTGGGGGGAGGAAAGCACGCTGGGGAGCTGGATGAGTGGCATTTATTTTTGCCCACGCCTTGCTTTAGTAAAACGTTCGGGCCACCAGGGGGCCTAGTTTTAAGCCCACAAAAAGTTGTCAGTTCACTTTTAGCAGCTAAGCACAGTGATCCAAGCACCATTCGCACAGCTCTTATCACTGAAGTTGTGGTTGTTTGTTTTATTTTCGTTTCTAACAGCTAGACTACACACCCAATGTAAACATGCAACAGTTTTTTGAAACGGAACGGGTGATAGGGTTGTGGCAAAACTTGGAGCTGACGAGCTCTACTGAGTTTGTTTGTGTTGTTTTTGGTGTTTGGTAGTTGTCAGGGCAATTATTTTGCTGGTTTGGTCTGTTTTGGTCATGTCAACTTGGAGTGATGTATCCTTTTCTTTTCAAACCACGTGGATACGTACGTGGTTCGTGCAGCATAGGTGCTCTGGCTACCACTGGAGCAATGCCGCGGGGTGTTATATTGCGATGGCATGAGGAGAAGGGGTATGGGTTCATTCGACCCAACGATGGAGGCCAGAATGTTTAAGCAAGTGAGTGAGTGGAAACTGTCGATCCAATGGTTGGGAACATATCATTAGGTGGTTGGGATGTACCACCAGGATTCCTATTGCCCCGTCCATGTCCTCACCACATACCATGAACTTGATCAGTTTGCGCATGTGAGATTGGTATTCTTGTCTTGGAATCCTTAGGACATGTTCGTGAGAACATCTGGTTTGCTGCAAGGTGAAAATGTGTTTTGCCACGTGACCTCGCTGCTGGACGGAGATGGCAGCGTGAGAGATGGTGAGCCACCCAGGGGCTTCAGGAAGACGTGTATGGAGACGTAAATGAACGAGCAAATCAACATTATTTGTTGAGGTAAGGTGTCATTCACAAATGCAGTTTCCAATTTTTCCAGTTGCACTTCCGCTGTCAGCAGTAAGTCTTCATTTTTCCAACCACTTTCACGGAAATGTTTTCTGAACAGAACCCATTCTTGTCAGATTTTTGCACCCTGCCACACCTCCGGCTGAAGCTTGAGTGACGCTTGTCCGAGGTGATGAGGTCGTCTATGAGGCGTACCTCCTTGGGATTCCTTGGGTTTCTATTCTTTCGTGTTTTTCATGTGTTTTCAGCCGCAACGTTGAGCGTGGCAGGTTGAATGGGATGAAAAGAAGGGCAAGGAACGAGCCCGCGAAGTGGAAGCCGTCCGAGGGCGCAAGCGCAGCGGCAGCCGCAGTCGCAGTCGGCGGCGATCACCACGGCGAGATGATCGGCGCAAAGGCCACCTGCCACGAAAGCAAGGTAGCACCGTGCCGTGAAGCAGCTACTAGTAGCATAGTGAATAGATGTGAATAGTGAGAGTCAGAGTAAAGAACACTGAATATTATCATTTTGCAGTTGCCATATTGGGTATTTTGTCGCTTGGGGGGAAGGGTGCATTGGATGTGGGCGAGCCTCCCCAACAGGTGAACATAGACCCGATGACATGCGCTTGGGCATCCAAAAAAAGAAAGTCAAATCATTCTAGCAACATCCATTTTAGTCAAACCATTCAGGAAACAGTGCTTTCCCGTTAGCCACAACCTTGAACACCTCAGACTGCTGCCACTGCTCAGCCGCTGAAAAACTGGGAAATCGACAGGCCGAGACAGCAGCCGCGATCGTGGACGTCGAGCTCGCAGCCGTAGTGACAGTAAGTAGGCTTGGTCTAGGATTGTAATGAAGAGGGGGCTAACGACTAGGAGCGCTCATAGCACAAGAGTGGCTATTGCGCCATCTCTGAAAGCAAAAAACATTGCGCGAGCGAGCCGTGTGCTGCGGAGATGAACCGATGAACGCTTCAAGCACAGCTTCGGCGTCTAGGGACACACGGGCCTATAGGCCCTATAGCTTCGGACACCGAAGAGTTCGGACACCCTGTACCCTGCGAAAAGCCGTGCGGAATTTCTGACATGTTTTTTTTGCTTTTTGTGTAGACGGGTGGTGTTTCTCTTGCAGGGCTGCAAGGAACATTCCAGCCACATGGAAGATTCCAGCCAGCAAACTGAAAGCGGGTGGCCTAAAGTGTTTGTGGGACATCACGAAAGCTAGCTTCAGCTAGCTGGAGTTACTCTTGTAAGTTATTGGCTTTGGGACGGAATGACCTACCCAGTGAATTATCCAGTGCTGTTCAACTCCCCTCTTGGACGTCTCAGGTTTGGGAGCAAGTTTCTTTTAACACATCCGTTCTGGGACCATTATTTTTCACACATGGCCTCCTCGTATCCCCGGCCTTTCCTCACCAGGAATCGACCTGTCATATCTATTTCGGCACGTCCGCAGCATTTCGGCACGCTGGCCCTCCCTGCCTCAGACCAAGCCTGTGACAACCAAAGGCCCAAGCTCGGTCGCTGGTTGGTTGATCCCAACCCAGCGGTGAAGCAGGGGGAATTTCGCAACTTGTGATTCTCTTGTGTCACAGCTTGTTTCATCAATTCTTTGGCCTGACTTGCAGATTCACTCCTTTTCGCCCGGCACCAGTCGTGGTGCCGTTGGTGGGACACAATTGCCTCGCTGGTGTAGCTCTTTGCTTTTTAGTGAGTCAAAGGTTGATGCAGTCCACATGCCATGTGCGTTTGTTTTTGACATACATATACATACACAGCTTTTAGCTACATAATCATAATACCCGATACCCTCTTTGTAATGTTGGTTGGCTTTTGCTTTGATGTGTGGCGTCTTGGTTCTGTCTATGTGGGTGTGCAACAAACGGGTTTAGGCACAGCTGCGTGATGGATGGGGCCACAGTCATGTCCTCGACTAATTGATAGGTTAGTTTTTGTGTAATGACTATGTAGCACTGATTGGCAAGGTGGCATAATTGTGCCAAACTTATTTTTGTTTTGCTCCTATGTTGAGCGGTGAGGTCTCCTGTTCGGTTTGTCAACAGGCGGATGGTCAAACCGCCGGGCTTGGCCTTACATTTCCTGCTTGGACTTTCGAATCTCTGACGGCGGTGTTTCATCAACCTTAACCTTAGATGGTCAAATCTTAAGATCCCTAACCTCCGCCTGTTTTGGAGCCAAGATCATCTTGATCCCTAACCTCTGCCTTTCTGCCACGAAAACGTGGCCTTGGGCGGCCGCGGTCCAACCCGCAGGCGGATCACTAGGGCTGCTTGTTCCAGGACGACACAGAGCTGCGTCTTTCGCGCACCGGTCGTTCGCGCTTTGTGGTTCTTGAGGCTTTTTTACCGTTTCTCTTTTCTCGGTGGTTTGAGCTGGTCGGTGGCATCCCCAAAGAAACGGTCGATGCCATGGGGGCAGAGAGATGGGTGTGTGTTGGGGGGTCGGTGTCGCACCAGGACTGAGACTGAGGCCATTAATTGTCATTTGGATCATGGAGGGTGTGCGAAGCTCAGCCGACGGAGTGCCGGGTGGATCTGGGAATCCGGGTGGCGATGCATGGAGTGAGTGCACACTCCGTGAGAGTGAGCCCGGTCTTCAACGTGAGCGTGGTGCGAGCACGGCCTCGACCGATTTGCCGGCCAAAAATGAACCGCTTGAAGAGGTCAATCCAATCCAAACCCGAATCGACTTGGATCACCACACGCTCGAGTCGATGCCTGGATCACAGCTGCGTTGGACCCAGGTTGGCTCTGGTACCGCCGCTCCAATTTGCCCTGGCAAGGTGGGCTTTCGGTTGCCAGGTGGCTCTTGGGATGCCCAAGAAGAAGAAGAAGAAGAAGAAGAGGAAGAGGAAGAGGAAGAGGAAGAGGAAGAGGAAGAGGAAGA